CCATCCATCCATCCTTCCATCCATCCATCCATCCATCCTTCCATCCATCCATCCATCCATCCATCCATCCTCTTAACCTGCTCCTCTTTCTGGGTAGGTGGACTTTGGACAGGTCAAAAGTCCCTTACAGTGCTACTTAGCTAATTAGCATTTTGCTACTTTTAGCTTTCAGCTAGATTTAGCTACTTCCTCATTATAACTGGCTTTTTTCCACATGYGTTTTGCCAATTGTAGCTTTTAACTAAAATTTAACTAATTTTAGTTATTATTATGCGAATTTKAGTCTCTAGCTGCCACCTTTTACTTTTCCACCCATTTTTTTTACCMACTTCTGGATCATGAGCAGCTGGACTCTGTACAGGTCAAAAGTCCCTCACAGGGATACATTTAGGTAGTATCTGCTACGCTTRGCTTGTAGCTGGCATGCTGCACCTGAGCTTTGTGCTACTTTTAGCTAGTTGTAGTTTTTTATGTAGGTTTTTAGGCTACCATTTTGCTCCTTAGCCTTTAGTATCCATTCTGCTCCTCTCAGCTCCCTGTCTTTGTTTAAGCTTTAAAACTTTCAGCTAATTCCAGCAGTCGTTCAGCTCTCATGCTGCATTTTTTCCAAGAAAGGCAATTTCTTTAGTTTTCTTAYTTTTACTTAAGTGAACTTTTTCATGCCCAAGCAGAAAACCAAATCTAAAAGAGATGAGTTCCTTCTTTGTGTTAAATCAGTGAACTTTAATTGGCTCTTTAAATTTGCACGTTTTTAATACAATTTTATCAATGTGATGTTTTTTAATGAAAGTTAAACGTCTCATCATGCAGCCTAATACGTGATTAAGAGATGAGATGTAGTGAATAAATGTGACGGACTGGTTTAATCCCTGCAGCACAGTAAAGTACGGTCCTGGTTCGGGGAGTCAGGTTAAGGTAAATACAAACACCACGTCTGTGATGACACTCGAGCGGAGCAGMAGGGAAATGTGTTTGCATTGTGGAGCTGTTTGATTGTGATGTMGGTTCTGCGTGGGACGTAGAGTCRCAGCTCTTCAACGGWTCTGACACAAGTTCACAGAGCAGCCCTGAGGTGCTGCAGAGAAAAATACTAAACATTTAGCACAACGTTGTCTCGTCTCATGGGGAGATAGACTCAGGTACTGTTTTGTTTTCTGTCTGTAATCTCAGGGATGTCGTTTTGACTCCGGAAGCATCATATAACTCAGG